GGGGGGCATAGGGATGCCGGGAATAGGGGTGTCGGGGGACCCTGAGGAGCAGTGTGGGCCTGGAAAGTGGGGGGCACTGAGAGATGGAGAAGGGATCAGAGGACAAGAGCAGCAGGGGACAGGGAGACTCCCCAGGAAACAGGAGGACAGGGATGGCCATAGGGAGACAATGAGGATAGGAGGGCTCCCGGGGGGTTCACCAGCACTGGGTGGGCACCAAGGATGCTGGCAAGGAACTGGGAAGCAGAGGCAAACAACCAACTCCCGGTCGTTCTCCCCACAGGTTCTGCCTCCAGCCCGGGCTGTCTGAGGATCTGGTGGGCACGCACCCCCCTGGGGCACACAGCCTGGTCGCTGTATCTGTAGGTGAGTGGGGGGAGTGGGGCTGCCCCCCTTTCTCCCCCTCCCAGGGGGTCCCCAGGGGCTCGTTGGTGCCTGACACCAGCCCCTTGAGCCACGTCGCAGGCAGAGATGTCCCAGGCACCCCAGACAATCGCCCTATTCTTGGCAAAGGACAGTGGCTCCTTTCTTACCGCAGCACCCACAGTCAGGAGGTACTGGGCACCCGGCTGCCCACCACCGTCCTCGTGGGGCAGCCAGGGTATGGAGCATCCTAAAAGTGCCCGTGATACAGGGTTGATGCAGGTCGCCCCAGAGCTTCGAGCTAAACATGTCAGAGTGGAGGCCAGGAGCTCCGAGTCCTCTGGATGTGTGAATCTTTCCTCCCCCTGCACCCTTGTCACCTCCTCACAGAGCTGTCACCAGCCCTGCGGTCGGTGCTAACAGGTTTCCTGGCACGGCTGGAGCTCAGCGGGGAGGTTTGAGTGTCTAAAACACCAGCGTGGGGTTGGTTTGGTGATAACAAACCCCGTGGCCGAAAGGGATCCGGTTCTGGGATAGGGGGAAGGCCCCTTCGCTCCCACCCTTCTCCAGGAAGAGATCCAAGTGAGCAGGTAGCTGTGGCCATCGCTTCCCTGCAGGGGCTGCCCAGCCCATTCAGGTACAGGGGCTGCTGGAGCAGTTGGAGGGTCTCTTAGCACAGCCCTTCCTGCCCCTTCCTTCGCTCATGGCCTCTCTGGTCCCAGGTTATTTCCTTGAAGACTTTGTGGACATGTTGTGCAATCAGAAACTTCACCAGTCCTGGGAGCTGCTCTTCCATCACTCCGTGGTGAGTCCAGAGGCTGCTTTCCAAGGGACAGACCCCGGCACTTGTACCACCAGGGTTCTCTGGTTGTGGATGCTGCAGGGGGGTGGCACAGCCTGGAGCCGAGCAGCAGCGATGCTGCGGGGTACAGGGGAGCCACAGGGCTCTGCAGGGCCTGGGGATGAGGGACAGGGACACTGGGATATACTGGGATGAGATGGGGAAGGTGATGGTCAGACCTGCTGTCTCAGAGCCCTGCGGCTCTGCCGGCCACTGCTTGCAAGTCAAAAGGTCACATCCACAACAGAGCTAATTCAGGCCAAGACAGTGACTTAACGAGCTGGGGGCAGATAATCTCATTAAAGAGCCAATACAGAGAACAGCATTAATGGTATCAGCTGAAGGAAGGACTCAATGTGCTAAAGCACAGGCTGGCAGAGCCTGTTCCCCCATCTGGCAGGAGGGTGCCTGCTCTGCACCCAGCAGCCCTGGCCTCTGCTGCAGCGTCCCCAGGGTGCTTCATGCCAGGCTTGGGGTATCCCATGGGACTCCCTGATGCACTAAAACTGGGCCAGCAGCAGCCGTAGCCCTGGGCTACACATCTCCCCATCTCCCTGTCCTGTTTAGTCATTCACTGGGTGTGGAAAAACCTGCCCAGCCACAACCAACTGCATTCCCGGGTCACAACAGCAGGGTCAGGCCTGGCTGCTGTCTCCTCTGCCAGCCTGGAGCTTGTAGAAGTCTTTCCCTCTCTTCCCACTGGAAAAAAAACCAACCCAACAGTCACGCTTCATTCAGTGCTGGGGGGATTTCTCTCATGCCCAAGGTTGGAGAATGCAGTGGTACAGAGAGGGGTGATGACCTGTGGTTTAGCACTGGTGTCCAAACTGTTTCCCCTTCTGCTCCAAGCACGGAGGGCTCCAGCTTGCAGCGCTTGAAAGCAACCAGACCCTGGGCTCAACCTCTCTTCTCTCCCCTTTGCAGGTGATTGTCTGCTTTGGCACCGCGGTGCTGCTCCATCAGTACGTGGGGTTTGCCCTGGTGGCTTTACTGGTGGAGATTAACTCCATCTTCCTCCACCTGCGGCAGATCCTGCTCATGGCCAACCTGGTGCACACCCCGTGCTACCGCCTCAATAGCATCATCAACCTGGGCACCTACGTGGTGTTCCGCATCGCCACGCTGGCCTGGATGGGCCGGTGGCTCTTCCTCAACCGGGAGAGCGTGCCCCTGGCTACGTACGCTGTGGGCACGGTGGGAATGGCAATCATGACACCCATGAACATCATCCTCTTCTACCGCCTGCTGCGCAGCGACTTCTGTAAGCCCAGCCGGGATGTGCAGTGGGAGAAGGAGCAATAACCCCCTTCCCAGCAGGATGAGACGCCCAAAGCCCGTGGAGGAGGACAGTAAAGAGCAGTGAAGAGTCAATGTGGCTGTTCTGGTGTGGAGGATCCACACTAACAGAGCATCCAGGCTTCTCTTGTGGGTGCAGACCCTGGGCCCCGCACAGCAGAGATGGTGCTCACGGACCACTGGACCTCTTCTCTCCCAACACCTTTGGATGATGTGGTCGAATGACCTGGAGCTGCTCAGAGGAGCTCGACAGCTCTTGCAGCTCCCCGAGCCACCGCTGAGATGGGAAGGGAGCAGAAGAGCTCTGCTTCCCCATTGCTCTTCTGGTGTTTCTAACCCCTTTGGTGCTGCAGTGCTCCATCAGCCAGCGGACACTGCGCCCTCTGTGGCATCTCCCACGGGAGCACCACCAGGCAAGAGAGGCTCCAAGGCTTCTCCTTGGAGGCCAGGGCCGGTCAAAGCCAAACCCTGCACTTGTGGGTCCTCCCCGAGGAGATTGTCCCGTGTGGGTGATGGAGGGAGTGGCTGGGCCCTGCCGGGATGGTCCAGGTCCAAGGCAGAGGCCGGCAGCGCTGTGCTTGGGGATGGGGAGCCAGCTTCTCCTGACAACCGGAGCTTCTTCCACGTTGTTTTGTTCCCAGGTATGTTAAATGCCCATAAATGAGTGTGGGAGAGGGCAAGTCCCTGGCCGGGATGAGGCTACGTGATGGGCACTCCCCCTGGATGTGGAGTTTTCAGGCACAGGCATCTGTTAGGAACAGGAAGCTCAGCTGCCGAGCCCGGTGCGACGCTCCCACCCAGCACCAA